GAAGAAGAAGAAGAAGAAGAAGAAGAAGAAGAAGAAGGGGGAGTGAAAACACCACGCGCTTGTGTCAATCTTTCCACGTTCCAATCTGCTTTTACCATGGGCAGCTGTCTGTTTTCCATAGACTTAGTGCTACAACATAATTCTTGATACAACACGCCTGCATTTGTCAAGGTTTCTATGGCTTCCCGAGTGTCAGAAACTGGTAAATGGCAGCACAATTTAAGGTTTTAGAAGCGTGCCACAGATATGATGTCCGAGGACATGCCAATAATGCTTTTTCTTAATTTTACACTCAGCATTTACTTTCTTTTCCCCACCATAAAAACTGCATTTGACTCAAACAGGTTGGAGGTACTGGACGGTGTCAGTCCAGGAGCTTTAAGGGGACTTTCAATACATAGCCTCCATGCCACCTCTATTTAGAAAGTTGGTAACGGTGCAGAGTTGCTTTTCGTTTGTTACCCCCCACAAAGATCGGTATAATAGTGTCAGCTTTAGTAGTACCTACTGCATATTAATAATGTATTAATGATACCTTCTTAGTTTCTAGTAATTCATAGGAACTCTGACTTTATGGCGATCTCCCATTATAAGTTTGGTAGGACTGAAGCGTTCACAGGCACAGGATACTTTCGGGGCATCCAGGACAGTTTTATAGCAGTTTCGGGAAAGCCTACCGAGATTCTCAGGCCTACTGTCACAGATCAGCGCGCATGTAGAAGTACTATGCAGAATACTGCATTCGCTAGCCGCGTTAAAGCATCAACCTGTCTACTTACAGGTTGCAATCGTCAGTGACAACCACTGTCCCCAATTTAACCGTGGTTACTTGCACCACATGCACAATGTCCCACTGACAGCCTGAAGTCGAGTGTGGACTAAGTAGTTGACCTAACACAAAAACTCCGTCTCCGTGAGTCCCACGCATGCTGACTCAATTTACCACCACACGGACCAAACCCAGATAACTCGATCTTTCGTCGATAAGAGTTACTGCAACGGTCCTACTTAGGAGGAGCCTTTGCAAAATGTCGATTAATTCAGAGAACTGAGGCTTATTTGCCCTTTAGAAACTGATTGCATTTTACTTTATTCGTGCCAGTCGATGATAAACAAAAGTGATAAAAATGCTCGTGCACTTGAAGGTTAATGAAGGCTTGCACTGATTTTTGAACCCCAAAATTAGGACAAACGCGTTTTAACTTGCCTTTAGACTATAGTGGTCGGAAGAATTTTGCCGAACATAGTTACAAACTAAAAATAAAGGATACTTCCAAACCAACTGCTCCATAAAACAACTCAAAACGACAGTAGATGAAAGCGAGTTTACTCAATAACAAGTCGATGAGGCAAGAAAAACTCCGCTATCGCCAAACGTCTACTATATATCGTTTTGACGCTCGCAGTGAACTAAGAAATTCGTCAAATTCCAACGCAGAGAGTCCTCCTTCATTTTGCGCGATTCGAAACAATGTGCTCTGAACGTCCTTCACCATGCTACCGGCCTTCCTAAGAATGTGAAAAAAACGAGTTCATAAGTGCCTTTTCTACATTGTTAAAAATGATTTAGTCAAATTTGGGAGGACACCCAGTTTTCAAAAAAGAAACTACGCGTACCTACTAAAGTGATGCAGCTAATTACTACGAAGAGGATTTTGTATGAATTGTCGGGGAAGGATGCCACAGGAATGAGTTTTCGTAAGGTGACATATCCGGAGGCTAGCCAGTAATTAATAAATCGTAATACGGTTAGCAAAAACAACTATAAGCATACTACAGAGTGTCCTAAAAAAATGTATACCCATTTTAAGTAATTGTAAACTTGGTGTTTATTACAATTTTGTTATTTCAAAAAAGTAAAAATATTTACAAGTAACATTTTATTGTTTTTTCACTGCATTTTGACTATTGCAACAGTGGCTGAATTGAGAGAAGCCACCGAACATGAATGCACCCGAATACCAAGGGAATTGTTTAATGGTATGTGCGATTCCATTGCTTCGCGTCTTCAGCAGTGTCATGATCAAAATGGACGTTAGTTTGAGAATATTCAGTGATGAAACAGTAAAATGGTACTTGTAAACATCTTTACACTTATTTAATAATAAAATTATGATAAACACCAATATTACAAACAGGTAAAATGTGTATACATTTTTGGGACACCCTGTATATTCTGTGCATTGAGGATTTTTCTATTGTAAAATTACTGTGCATCTCTGGCGACAGTAGAGCCCGCCAACTTTCTAGGTGGCTCTAAAATGGCAGTGAAAACTTTGTACTTTTCAATATTTTTAATCGGTTACCCAAAAGAACGAGTTCTGTAGATTGTTTCAGATGTCTCTACAAACACCTGCCAAGATTAGTAATAGGTGATCAAACATTTGGTACTATGACTCTTAGTAGGGCATCTACCTTGTGAATCTTCCGAACGCCATACGTATACCCGTTCCTTTTAGGGAAACAGGGTGATAATAGCCCTCATCTTCAGTTCGTAATTTGCTTCGGACAGCGTCATTTGGGGATTTGTGCTGGGGTAGTCAATGCCTATTAGCGAATGGCATTCCCGTCCCCCTCGTTTGCCTTACACTGCTGGAGCGCTGATTCGATCAAGGAAAGGTCAAATATAATCAACAGCAAACAGGCGGGTCAACATTTCTGAGTAGCATATGGACATAGTTCAAGGCAGAAAACAAGGCTGAGTAAATTAAGGTCGGTAAGAACAATCCCCCAGACACACTGATAAAGAAAAACGGGCTTCCCAAACGTCCGTACAAATGCAGTTCAGTCTACGAACTCGCCGCTGTCTCTTCCTCTTAACGTTTGGGCTTCAGACGCTGTAAAACTGGATGGAAAGCTGACTGGTGACGGCTAATAAGTCAGACATGACCACCCCAGTATCCTGTCTTTGCGATAAGCTTTTTTCCTTCTTCAAAACCAGTAGCCGTGCGAGTGGTTGTGGGACTCTATATCGAGGTCCAAAATAAAACGACACGAGCATTTGCGAGCGTAGATACTTCAGTGAACCGACTTCAGTTAGTGTCTTGCCGCCTAACATTCCCTGTCGCTTGGGTTCGGACCTCGGGTGGTGCACCACTTCGGGTTGGGTGTGGCTGACTGATCACAGCTAATAAACCAGAAATGGTCATTCCAGTCTCCCTTTGTCAGCAGTGATGTTCATCTGCCGATAATACTATCAGCTGTGTGGCTGTTAGCGGGATTCGAGAGTGAACCCTAAGACAGAACGGGACGAGCGAGTCCCGTAACCGATCGGTGAGTGTTCATTCGCCAATATTTAAAAATATGCCAAAGATGTTCACAGTTAGAAATGCCACAGGTTTCTAGGGTACTATGTCATCCTTAGTTTCTATCACTTAGGAAGTTTAAGCATAGCTTAGAGGAGCCACTACACCGAGGAAACTGTCTAGAATAAACCGTTTAAGGTACTAAAGGAAGTGGTCTCCCTAGCTGGCACCAGTGTTATTACGTTTGTAAAGTGAAACAAAGCAAAAAAATGGAGAATAAGATTCGTGCTGTGCTTGACTCAAAGTTCGCTTGCAGCTATCTGTACCGCAATCAGGGTCGTTAAGTCCCTGCTCTACTATGTTTCGGGAGCCGAATATAATATCCATGAGGGGCGCTACAGAATCCAACATTTAAGGTCCCACTGCAACGGACAGGCTGGCCGTCTCCGGCTTGCAGAATGTTTAATTCGCAGCAATAAAGAATTCATCAATCAAATCCCTCTTACTCGTTCTCCTCAAACTCCAACTGGCTCTCAGTGACGTCTATTGATGTGACTGAATGCGATGGCTAATCGGCCCACATATACCAGCACTCATTCCTCCCTTGCACTCAACAAATTAATGAGGCTTCACAAGCACAGTCCCGTAGTCAAAGGATATACAGACATCAGAATGCCAATGCATTTCACTGCACACACATACCCACAGATAAATATCATGCCATCTTCACGGCTTAGCAGCCTCCAGATCTTTGTTGACAACTCGAGCATCTTATCCTGCACATAGACTTTGGAGGGCTGATCCCTTGAGAAGGCGCACTGCAGGTCGGTAATCACACCCGCAGAGACGGCTTGAGAGAGTTCGTCGGAAAAAAGGAAGTCCTGTGACCGATGACGACAACCGAAGAAGAGCATGGCCTCACCAAGCCGACCGCCTATAAGAGTTACACCATAGGAAGCAGTTAGTCTCTTAGAGGGGTAGAACAAGCGAAAATTTATATTTGATTAGGTA